AACGCCAAGCTTAAATTATAGTCAAACTAAATGTATCCAAAGCAGCCTGCCAGGTTAAAAACAACACTCAAGCAGTTCAATGCGCTTGCAGTGCGATCAAATATTCGCGCTAATTTCACTACCCGTGATGCGGACATGAGAGAGTTGATTGTAAGCATGTGCACGCCTAAAATGCTTGGCCAAACTTCAAATTGAATTGAGTTTGGCATGGCAATGCCATGACGTTTAGAACAGTGCCGTTCGGAATGGCAATAGCACGGAGACCCTGCCAAGCCAAATGATGGTGCTGTGCTGAACTCAATTTGCAGAGCCATATGCCATGGAACCGGGTACCTGTAACCAACTTTGCAAATTACTTACATGTAGTAACTTCTCAGTCAATGAAAAAGAAATGCTTTTAATGTCAGTGCGAACATTTCAAAATAAAAAAACAGGATACATGGAAACATGGAAAACCAAAACCAATTTTGATGCTTGTGAAAGTTGCAGTTTTCAACACCACATTGCCGCACCCATGTGGTAGTAGTTTATGTGGACCTTTATAAACAATCTGAACAGTAACTTCCCAGATTTGAATTTTTGGCTTCGTTTCTTTAACGGGAACTCAGGTACACATTTTTCAATAGGGAACCCAGTTCCTGTACTAGTGCCTGTAAATGCACACCATGCCAGGCCAAATTTAAAATCAGTCAGATTAAAGGTATAGGCCTAGTCCATCATTTGTAATTTGTGCATTTTGTTTGTTTGAAGCAACAAAAGTGCTCAAGATCTAAAGCAGGGTGCTGAACAACTAACCTGATGAAGTTTCAGCTCATCTTTAGCTGTATATTTTGAGAAAAACAACATTCTAAGATCTCGATTTCAAATCAAAAGTTGCTGAATCATGTTTTGAAATGGGCCTGAATTCAGCGTCCGCGACACGTTCTCACTGAGCCGATTGCAACTACGCGATGTCGCGCACTGATCCAACGAATTATAGCAACCGCGCGGGTCGTGCCAATGCTTGCGCGCATCGCCGAATAACAAAACAAACTACTAATTTGAATTTCCTACATGTATGGTGCTTCTTAAGAAGCACCGTTGGAAAGGCCTTCTATTGTTGATTTCTTCAAAATGACAGCTTGCCAGAAAGAATAATTTCACAGGGAGTTTAGTCCCCTCACTATCTTTCAACCAAGTATGTTTTTCAACATTACGCCAGTTATTTTTTTGATAGCTGCAAATGATGGACTCTGGCTTTTAATTGGGTTCTGCACAGCAGTAGCACAGCGTTTAGAACAGGCCTGAGGCAGCAGAGAAGCATTATCAACTGGATTGCAACCTGCCCATGGTTTGTCAGAGTCAACAGGTTTGGTCACAACTTCCCTACCATGGAGATGTGCAAACAAACAGGGGTAAATAAAAAAGAAACAACAAGGACAATCTGGGGCGGGGTGGACAGTGCAGTTGTTTTAAGCTGTGTGCCGTGCAAACAGGCAATCGTCAATCCTTAACAACCCAACCACTATATTGAGCTTAATTGTGAGAGACCTGAAATTAAAGACCACAGCAAACACTGTGTATTTTAGAGAACCTTGTTAAGTGGTTGGGAATTGAAGAACACAATAGAGGCAAATTATGGACGACCTTGATGTGCTCTGAGTGGGTATTTAATTATGGAGGAAAACTGGTCTTATGTATTTGGCCCAAATGCACACTGCCCAAATGCGTAATTCTGATAGTGAGCCACATGTACATGTACATGTACACTATACTGTAATCACTACAAAATGAGGTGTGCCAATTTTACATTTTTCAATACCACTGTTTTCTATACCTATTATGAATGTGCCGTTTAAGTGCGTGGCACATGAAGGTGTTTGTGTTTGAAATGAAAATGGGAACATGGCATACACTGTACATACATGTATATGTTCATGTACATGGCCATATAAACAAGGCCTATACATTGTACGTACTCCATTTTACATCAAAAGAAATATAAATATATGTATGTACTGAAAACAAATCAACAGTACACCTTCAGAAACACACTATTTACATTATTTTGGTGACGATGTACAAAGACTGAATGGCTGAAATTCACCACCAAATCAGTTCGTTTGTTAAAAGCTGTGCTTCTGAAATGAGCGTGAATTTCAATCACCGTGGATGGACGTTGTTTGCGTGTGAAAAACATTACAACAAAACAATAGTGAGTGCACTGTACAGGGTGAGTCAAAAAGAAAGTGACCCAGATTAAAGATTTTTTGCTTAAAAAGCAATCAAAATTGGATACACCAATTAAGTACCGGTATGTCTTAAAAGCGCATGTTCTTCCACTCCTTTGAAAATCAGAAGTTATGCATATTTTACTATTAAAAAGAAACTATTTTTGTAGCTGTCCATGGAATGCCAATGGAAGCTATGGAGCTGAGTGAGAATTACAGATTACACACAGGCATTCAAACACAAATGAGATTTCATAATTGAAATCCAGACTAAAACATTATTTTCACTGTCAGATTTTGTGTCTTTAATATGAGGAACAAGTCACTTTTTTTTTTCTCTGAAATATTGCTGGCGAAGTGTTTATGTTTTCCTTCGCAAGTTCTTGTTCATTTATAGAGGTGGGAAAACGTCCATGTTTCATTGTACTTAATGGTATTCATCAGTTCGTAGAACGGTAAATGATCAGTGGTGGACAGCCAAGTTTTGTAATCTTTTTATTGAAATAGACATAACTTGGGAATAGAGCATGAAAATAATGTGAAATTTTCACAGTTTAAAGTCAGTAAGATACCGGTACAGGTACATGTAGTTTATCCCCGTTTTTTTTTATGAAATGGAGCAAGCCAAATATTTCACAAATATTTTTCAAATTCGGTCACTTTCAGTACATGTACTAAAGTATGTACATGTACCACACCTAACAATAAGGCCAAAAAAAAGAATAGTTCTGCTTCCGGTTACCCGACCGACCCTATTTTTAGGCTGCGACCCTAAAAATTTTATCGGCAATTCCAAAAAAAAAAGAAAAAAAAAAAAGATTGAATAAATAAACATAAAAACCTTATGTCTTGTCTGTCTTCACAAAATACCTCTCAACAACCCTTTTGCATCAAAAAATGCTTGTATTTATTGTTTTCTTACTTACATTCGCTATTTTTTCAAAAGAAACCTCCGTTATTTTTACAAATTCGCTGCGCGATTCAACTACTTCGCAATTCGATGTCTATAAATCACGTGCGTAATAAGCGCAATGCGGCGACGACTGGTTCCCGCCGCGCCGCGCAGGGGCCAATTATGAAAATGCGGTAACTAGTCTGTGCACGGCTATGCGATCGTTAGCGCTAGCATGGCTATGCAGGCGCAGGCACGTGCTCTGTCAACTGGTCGGACTCGACATCGTAAAAATGCTGAAAAAGACATCGTAAAAATGCCAAGAAAACACCGATGGAGAAAGAACATTTTTGCAAGTTAATTCACAGATTTGATCTAGCTTGTCTGTGTATGTATTTTCCGTGTTCAAGAGTTCATTTTGAGATCGCACTACTCGTATTTGGAGTAATAAAATGCAGCGTGTTTCCTGAAATGTTCGACCCGTTGGCCGCGGGCCACACATGTACAAATGTACATGTACAGTGCATCACACACTTTGGAGTTTTGGCCAGCTCCCCTTCTTGACTAGCGTTGTGCCTATGGTGCGAACGACCTGAATTTCCCACAATTTTTTTTACGAATTATCGAACTTAAATATATATTGACAATAATTAAGGTAGGTTTTATTCACTTTTTGTTGCCATTTTGTGTATAGATTTTGTAGTGCAATGGAAATAGTTCAGGCTAAAACTTCGCATATAATTGAATACCCCATTCAATCTGCATAAAAAAAATTGGCAAAAAAAACAAAATTTTCGACCGACCGACCCTATTTTTGAAAGGCATGTAATCGGAAGCAGAACTATTCTTTTTTTTGGCCTAACATTGGACTGCTTTTTTCTTTTTACACGAAGGGTGATTAATTTGTTTTGCGGCCTCACAAAGCCAAGGGTAGAATATGTTGTCCACATGTCGGAGCCGTAACTAATTAACTCGTGTGGATCATTATCCCAGATATTAACGAGAGATATTGGGTCTGCTCCAGCTTTCAGGCATAGAATAATATATGGGGCGGCGCACATTGAACGAGGCACACATTACACATGCTACTTCACACAAGGGCCTGCAAAGTGCAGCAAACCATTGTCTGTCATGCTCGTTTTTTTGTGCCGGAAAGCCTTCAATGTACGGTAATAAATCTTGCAATGAGAATAAAGGACCTTTTCGCATTAACTGGGATTAGTCTTACTACAGCTTTTCTAGTACATGTATCAATATTACTTTCTGAATAATTCCTCAGTTGAATATTTTATGTACAGTGCCTAAGAGCACTTTCATGAATGCGGCCTTTGTCAAACGTTATTATTATTTCAATTTTTTTGTGTGTGTAGCTGGAGCATACTGTCTTCTGCATTTTGAAAACTGAAAAATGTATTTTACATTGTATGGACGTTTGTATTAGTGGGTAAAATTGTTGATATCCATTTCATCCCCACTTCCTTTTATTTTCACTTGTGCAAGATTTTCTTAAAGGCCTAAACTCAAAAGAAGCTCTGTTGATTTAATATATTCATAAATACCTGAGACAGCTGACCTACTCCTATTGGTCGAGAGCCCGTCACATGGGTGCTTTTAAATGGTTGATAACACACTGGTTGGCTGGTTTTAAACACTTTACCGGTGTCACATGAAGTTTGGACTCCTGTGAAATCTGGTCCCTTTTACTGGTTGAACGTTCACAATCTTCACTTACATGTCACGAATCACAGTGTCACGAATCGTAGAGAGTAGCCAGGTTATTAAAAGTCAGTTCACTTTGGGCTATTCACATTAATGAATACATTCTTTTGCTCCACTTGAGATGAATCAATTCCAATCAATTCCAGACAATTAACTGTTTTATGAAAGTTTCCACTTACTTAATATTCTTGCAAAACCAAAGTCACACAATTTCAGCATGTCATCCTTCGTGATGAGGATGTTCTCAGGCTTCACGTCTCTGTGAATACACTGTAGAGAGAACAAAAATGGATGTTTAAAAAAAACAGCTACACACATTCATGTTCAATGTACATGTAGTAGGATATTTGGGATTATTTTCACCTCAGTTGATGGATATGTTCGAAAGAGAACTACATGTAACATTTCTGGAAAGAAACAGGGTCTGCTCATTACATTTCTAGTTACTACATTACTTTGACATTAATTGGCATTGTTACATTGCATAGCTGCCAACTTTTCAAAATCCTAATTAGTAATCAACCCGCGCGGTCATTTTCAACTTCTCGTTTTTTCAAAAGCTTTACCAACATCGAGTACAGGTACATGGTTCACATGTACACACACATGTGCATACCCTTCTTGTTGTGAATAATAATGTACTGTAGGCCAAAAGATAATTTTAAAAAAAAATAATAATAATAATAATTTTTTTTTTAAATTAATTTTGTTGCAATGTCTGTATTTGTTTGTTGAAGTCAAATAAATAATAACAATAATAACGTGCGCATATTTTTTTTTGAGATGCATGCTATCGATGTGGAGTTTCGAGTTCGTATCATGTTTTTACACACAATGATTTAGGGCAATAGAAATATCCCGCCAACATACCTTGCAAACGCATGCTGATATATCTTTTCTGGACGTTGTGACAAACTCAAACTCTATTACCAATTATTCCAACCATACTCTTATTAAATTCCATGATTAAAATCTCGCACTGATGGGTCTCATCCCGGCAATAAGCGACCAAATGTGCTCACGATCGTCACTGAAAAGTACTCGCATACATAACCACACATCCACGAGATGCACACAAATGACACACCATTGAAAAATATTTTTAGTCTGGTCCTCAAGTACTCCACTGCGCACACTGCATTGATGTCTATCAGGTGCTTGACTGCATTCTTATTAGACTTGTCACCAGTCCATCCATTATCGCGACATTTCGCCAGAAGTTTTCGGTCAAAAACGATACTTTACAAGTATTTTTTTTTTCGTTAGGTAGAAAATGGGAAATTCGTAATGTTTTAGTGGCAAATCGTATTTTCGTAATTTAACAAACAATTCGTAATAATTACGAAAAATTCGTAATAGTTGGCAGCTATGCATTAGGCCAAAAAAATAGTTCTGCTTCTGGTTTCCCTACCTACCCTATTCTGACAGCCCCTACCTTAATGTTTTTATTGGGAAAATGAGACGAAAACACCCAGAATCATCAATTTCTACTTTTTACCATTGACTACATTTTTACCATTGCCGCCATATGATCGTACACGCCAAAAAGAAATTTCCCTACCTATAGATCTACCCTATTTTCAAATGCCATGTAATCGGAAGCAGAACTTTTTTTTGTTTTGGCCTCACATTACATCAGTGGCATTGCTTTTTTAATTATTAAATGAGGCTTCGCCTTTTTTGGCCTAATATATAAGCATCCGCAAGGGACTCATAATGGATCATGTTCAATGGAGAACCACTTTATAATGGAAAAGGATGGGGGATCAGCACAGATGTTGTAATTATATCTACATTCACATGTACATGTACAATCCCACGATGCTACATGTAAGTTCTGAACAGGTTTTAAGAGCAGTCCTTTTTGACGATAAGTTTGTTCCTTTTGGATAATCTTTCAGGAGCTGGCTGATATGCCTTTATGCAGCTAGTACTTTTATGAAATTCCAAGATAATTAATTGCTTAAAGAAATGAAATGGATTGAAATTGGGGTTTTAATCTTTGACCTTTGGGATACTATGATACTACATGTACATGTATGTTAATTAGGGCGTACATTTCGCCAGAAGTTTTCGGGCAAAAAACGATACTTAATAAGTATACTTAAAACAAGGTTTTTTTTCATTAGGCAGAAAATGGGAAATTCGTAATTTTTTAGTGGCAATTCGTATTTTCATAATTTAACAAAAAATTCGTAATAATTACGAAAAACTTGTAATAGTTGGCAGCTATGCTATGATACAGTATCCTGTAGCTTTGCATTAGAATTAAGTATGCACTTGTAGCTTCGCATTAGAATTACACTGCCGCATGCATGTCATCACTAATCAGCTCATGTCTGTCTTTTAGAAGGCTTCCCAATTACCAATCCTTTAGGATAGTGTATCAGTGATCTATCCAAAAGACCACTCCAGACAAAATGACAAGTCTGCAAAATGTTACAACTTTTCTCTCGATCTCCCTTTTTTTGGGGGGGGGGTGTGGGGGTGTAAATTCATACTTCATAGTTCAGCTGTCTTCAAACATGTACATTGTAGTTCTTGCTTTCTCAATGCACATTTCAAGGTACATGTACAAATGTAATTTTAGTATCCTGCTCAATTTATCAAGCTACTGACAATTCCAAGAGTTCAAGTATGTACATGTACTTGTACCGGTAGCTTCATATTAGAATTACACTGCCGCATGCATGTCATCACTAATGAGCTCATGGCTGTCTTTTAGAAGGCCCCTGCAATTACTTGTTCAATGTACATTTCTTTTTTTTTCCAATCTTGCTGCGAGGGATCCTCATCAGTGAAAACAAACTTATTCAAGGATTTAAAAAAAATATTCCAATAGGACTTTGTCCCTTTCTTTTTTTCCATTTAGAAAAATCTGTTGTGTCAGGCAGCACCGCCCTTTGAGCTGTTCTCCTTTTGTTCTTTCAAAACAAATTTTAAATGTCTTCTGAGAAAAGAAATGGTCAACATGGTCCAAATAGAAGGCCTGGGAATTAGTAAAGCTGTGCAGCAGGCCTATTTTCGTCTTGGTCAGTTCCAACCACTTGTACTAAACTAAAATCCATAAGCCACTGCCCCAAACCTGCTAGAGCCACTTTGTGCTTAACTCCCACATAAGAGCTACAATATTGATTTCTTTTCTTTAGCTTATTCCCTCCAAGGAAGCAGAGAGCAGACGTGAATGCGTGACTCGCTGAGCATGAAGCTTGAACACCACAAGTTGTAAACAAAGTTTTAACATCAGCAGTGGGTAGCAATGGGGAATTTTGAGAGTCAGGAAGGCCACCAAATCAAAGACTGTGAATTCAACAAAAATGTACGGACTTAACAGCTATGTAGGAAATGCCAAAAGAAGGTCTAAATGTTCGCAGGAATTTGTCAAGATATTTTCTTTGTTAAAGTTGTGTTCACCATGCTCTGCAACAAATGTGATTATTTTCTTTTAATAATTTTCAACTTAAGTACAATGAAATCTCGATAAGTCAAACCTCAAAGGTTCAAAATTTGCCTTAAGTAGAGCTTTGAGTTGAGCAGGGTTGTATATCATTGTTATAGTTTGTTTAACTTAACAGTTGTTTTAGAGTTAGAGTTTGACTTCTCGAGATTTCACTGTATGTTTTTATTTTGACCAAATAAACTCCCTTTTTTTCTTTTTGCCTCTGCAGCCCTCTGAAATTTATATATTTCTGGGCACAAACAGGTCCGTTTTATGAGGCAGAAACCAGCCTAATCGTAACTAAATTATTATTGAGTCGCAGGTAATTCAAAATCTGTATTACATGTACAAGTCATTGTTTCATCAGGCATGCAACTGGGAATTTAGAAAAAAAACGAGGAAACTCCAAACCACACAATACTTTGTACCAGGGGTCAATATAGAAAATAAAAGTTACATGCACAACTGAGATTTTTCCTTGAAAATGGGCTGAAAAACTGAACATTCTGCATACACAGGCAACATTTTACATGTACAGAGCCAAAGTTACATGCATCTGTGCATGTAAAACCCCTCTAAATCGACCACTGCTTTGTAGTGTTTTTCAATTTGTAATGGCATTCATGAGAAGTAAAAAAAGGAAATCAGCGGATCCGAGGAAAAGTTGCAGACATGCGGCAATTTTTTTTGGTTGATATCTCATTCATTTACACTTCTGTTGCTTGAAAAATAGCAATTTTGAATTTTAAGGAATCTGTTTTTCAGAATGAAACTAAAAAAATAGCAGAGAAATGCAACTGTAAATATGATATCAACATGTGTGTAACCTTTGTTAGAAATCATTTTATAATGATAAAAATCTTCACAATCTCAATGAAGACCATAATGTAGACAATATCAAGTATTAGTCTGAGTATCACCCGTTATCTATGGTGCCAAGTCTCCTGTATAACGTCTGATGTGTTAAAAAATGCAGATATACATGTATGCGATCTCGGGCCTCAGTCAATCGGAGTCGACTTTACTAAATCATGACGTCATTTCATTACTACATGTAAATCATGACGTCATTTCATTCCCAAATCAAGACTAAAACTGTGATGGTCAATTCGAATGCAGTGTTTTGTAATACAACAACAGCCGGGCACGTACCGCGTAACATAATACAGAACGCTTGACCACAGCCTTTGTTGCTGTGTCTAGGTGTTTTTTATCCATGTCTATGACGCGACAACGGTGAATGACCAAAGACCCGATATAGAAAGCGCCCGCTGATTGGTCAAAATCTACAGGTCAAGATGCGGTTGTCTTGCATAATTAATCAGCGAATCTGCTCAAATGATAGACTAATTAAGTATGGACATAGTGTTATAATTTGCATATCTAGCCAAGAGATTTCAATGAATTCGGGTACATTTCCACAAAAGCATCAGATTTTCTGGAAGGGGGGGGGGGGCAGGTGGAGTGGGTTGGGGTGGGTGGTTTTTTTTTAGGGGGGAGGGTCTTGTGTTAGTATCTTACATTGTGATCGTGGCAGAATTTGACGGCTTCAAGTAGTTGCTTGATCCATTTCTTGACTCTCTCTTCTGGCATTCTGTAAAAAGAAAGAAAAAAAGAAGCAACATAAGATATTATACTGTACGCAACAGAAAGTAAACTCAATACCGAAATCAAAATGTGTGTTTCAATTTGATATAGATTTTGGATTCGTGCCAAACAGGATAGCCTAAATATTTGTTTTTAAAAAGTTAGTCGTCCCCAGCATTTGCAAGGTAAACATTACATTATGATTGACAGGATGAATGAACATGTAGTGCAAATTGTTCCACGATTTTGAAACCGAGACAAAATTTTGTATGTTTTTATATTGCAAGTTTTATATTTTTTTGGACTGTTTACTTCATCTGCTTTTTCCCCCTTTAATTACACTTTGTTCTAGAACTAATATTAAATTACTAAATGTACCGGTATTTATTATTTAATGTTAGTTTTATAACTGTGTATTAAAAAAACGTACTCCTCACAATGCCTTGGTACACTGTGGTTTCATGGATTTGTCAAGGAGTACATGCATGTACAATGTGATGCAAGTGCTAATGGTTTAATAATGATCAACTGATCCACTGGTATGCAAATCCATACTAATCCTCCAGTCCACTCTAATCCCAGCTGAGTAAGAGATTCAATTACTTACCCTCCCAATGTTCCCTGATGTTCAATTAACCTCCTGCAGACAGAATAAACACAGATCATCAATTTAGGAATACCGAAAGTCTTGTTGGCGCCATTCACTCGAGGAACCTTAGAGATGCAATCACACACATTGTAAGTGTACCACAATTTGCGATGCGATGTGATGCGATGCGAGGGTGCAGCCTAGCCTACACCAACTTGGGACAATGGTCACCGCCCTTCACTCATCTCTATCCACAATTTATTTAGACTCTAAGATCTCATTAGAACATTTCTTTGACATCAATTTAAGCATTGGAATGATACATGTAGGGCCCTAAAAAAATAAAAATTTTGGATATCAAGATCATACATGCAATGATACACTTTCTACAAAAATAATGTGCAAATCACGATTACTGTATACTGTTGACATTGTATCTCAGTAAAAACAACAATGTCACTGATAGAATTAAGACACAGACTTAGGGCCCTGTCACACTTCTGCGTATCCTAATTCCTTATGAGTTGCGCATTGACATTTTTTTCATACGCAGTCGTATGAAAAAAATAAGCGGGAATACGCTCAGAAGTGCGTCAAGCATGCGGTCGGCATAAGTCGGGTGCGTCCGGAATACGCTCGGCATGCGCCCTGCATACTGACCTATTCGCAGCCCGAAAAATAATGTTGTGCACTGCATACGCAACTCATACGCATCTCATACGCAATGGATGCGCTGAATTCGTTACTTGTACGCTAGATGTGCGTCGCACATAAGTCAAAGTGATCAAAACATTTCGACGTTAATTGAGCGTACGGCTGCGTATTGAAAATGTTTGAAAAGGAACTCATAAGGAATTACATGTAGGATACGCAAAGGTGTGACAGGGGCTACACAGGTAAAGTGGCAAGCAAGTTCCATCACTAGCGTAAAAGTTGTTTATTTGTTTGTTAGTTTGTGTTTTTTAGGGGGGGGGGGACAAACATCGCATGCAATATCAAATGCATGTAGTAATAAGATTCAGACTTTATGTACATGTGTTTCACAAGTGACTTGAAAGCTTTGAAACCCATAATGAACGATTAAACTCTTCCTTTGAAATTTGTTCTATAAATTTGGCGCAATTTACTTTGAGGTCAAAGAAATATAAATAGCAAAAGGGACCATCCCTTTTTGTAAAAAACAACTACCCTAATCAATTTGTATGCACCCTCCCCCAATTACATGCACATGAACCTCTCTAGTCTACCGGTAGGTCCATGCACAGTACACAGCAGAAAATCCAATTTTGTGCACCCAGCATACATGTAGTATTGACTGGCCAGTTACAAGTTAATCAATAAAACGGCCTGTGTGCACAAGCGGTAGATCCAGTTATTGCCTGGCAGCACAACAAAAACAGGAATGTGGGTTGAGATCCAAAAAAAAAAGACTCAGCTAGGGGCTGATGTTTGTACACAAATTAATCAAATGTCTTGTCTGAACTTTGGCCTTTGCTGGACACACTGCAGTTTCTAAACAGAGGATACAGAATCCTTCCTCCAGCAAGTACTGACCAGTTGTCAAGCTTTCGATTCACAATGTGATTGATTGCGAGAGGGAAGGCAAAACTCGGCCATCCTTAGCCTGATATTGGGGCACAGTCTCCCTAATTCTGCCCACGCATCTGTCCATGTTGGAATTTGGGTTTATCCGTTGAAATGAGGTGCATTTTGTTTTTCTTTTGAAAACCAATGATTACTTTTGGAGTGAGGCCAGGGAAGGTCAATTACATACTGCATGTACCGGTATGTACATTGTACATGTACATGTACATGTACATTGTACAATGTAAATGCAATTTTAAGCAAAATTTTGGTCAAACGCTTTCCGCCGTACATTCCTTAGCATTCAAAGATTGTGCCTAACAAATATACACATACACGTACATGTGGTTTTCATATTTCAGAAATTTTAGAGAAGTTCTGTGGGGGGGGGGGAGGGGTACGGGTAAGGGGGTAAACTTGCCCTCCTCCTCTCACCCCCTGGCGGCACTTTGGGTTTTTTTAACTGTAACTTCCCAGCGTCTTTCACTAGGAACTGAACTAATTCCATCAAAATCCATCAATCTCTGTGCGTCTAATACAAAACTGTACACGACATAATGGAATCCACCACTGATGCACTGGTTGACATTCATGGACTTGCTACACACGGCTTTTATCACAATAGCAGTACAGGAAGCTAGGCAAAATCAATCGGACACCCCTAGCACTGCTTCAGGCCATTATGCCCAAGTCCATCAAACTCCATCAATATTTAGTCACGCCAGGCCTTGTGGACCAAGTCCCCCAAAATCCACCAAAATGGGGGGATGGATTTTGATGGAGTTGGGGTGGTTAGGGTTAAGATGGTTTTTCGGAAGGTTCAGACATTGATACAGTAAAGTCTTTATTTTAAACAGCATGCTAACCCTCATATCGACCTCTGCCAAGTTCTGTCTCATTTTGCTAGAACACCTCATGTTTACCGGTATTGTAAAAATATGGTAGTACTCCTATCTTACCCTTTTGCGTACTCATCGAGGGAATTTAGTAGCGTCTTCTCACAGTACTCAAACACCAGGTGCAGTTTCCTCTTCCGTCGGAACACCTCCAGCAAGTTGACTAAGTTTTTGTGCTTCAGTTGCTATGGAAACCGAGAAACAAGATGCAAAGTAGTCAATGTTTATTCCAAAATACATCTTTGAAATGCTATTAAAAAAACGAAAACTGTTCGTGAAGAATTGGTGTTTACAAATTAAGGCTATTTACAATTGTTGATACTATGTTTAAATACCAGACAGATTTGGTGTTTTGTGTCAAATATTTCTAATATTTTTTAATTGATAAGGAACATTGTGTTGGTGATTTGAGAAATCGAAGCCATCTGTTACACATTTACCTTAAATTGTGTAATGTGTATTTAACATTGGGTGCCAGGGAAAAACCGTTACAGTTTTTAGTGTGAAAAACTATGAAAGTTCTTCGCTACTGTAAATTCAAAACCAGTATGAATAAAGTGTAAGTTTGGATCACAGCAAATCTGGGTTAAGTGCATTACCAATGCACAATATATTATGGGGTTTAATCATACTTGCTTGGGCTTGGTACATTTTGTAATTGTAAATGAATGTATTTTGTGTTAATGTCATGTAATTTTGTTTCAACCATCACACAAATTTCATATTTCTTAAATCTACAGTTAGTTTACTAATGAGAGGAGCTTTCTGATTGCTTTTGAGAATATCTACCAGTACCATATAATTATAAACGTTTTATATCTACTGTACCGGTAGACCTACCGGTAAGGTCAAAAACAAGTAGTTCTGCTTCCGATTACACGGCATTCCAAAATAGGGTAAGTAGGGAGGTAGGTACATATTTTTTTTGTTCCATTTTTGTTGTTGTGTACGATCATGCAGGAGTCTGCATAATTACAATGTATAGTCAAGAGTGAAAGGTAGAAATTTATGGATTTTGATTTTTTTTTCCTCATTTTTCCCTAAAAAAAATTAGGGTAGGGGCTGTCAGAATAGGGTGGGTAGGGAAACCGGAAGCATAACTTTTTGGGGGGGGGGGGGCCCCTAATTTTCATGACGTCCCAATGACTTTGTCATGATTGTTACGCCAACTTAAGTGACAGTTCCCAGTTAGTGAAAAATAAGTTACACACATAATATGCATTTAGTGTGCAGGCATGGGCGGAACGCCATTCAAAATGCGACATCAAAGCTAAAATACTGAGGTACACATACAAATGTAGCAATGCATGTATGTACATACATGTTTACATGCACAATACATGTACATGTATAATGTACGGCACTGTAAAGTAAATGTATGTATGGAATTTTTCAGCGTACCGTATCGTACATGTACATGGCATTTTTCCATACACGTCATCTGCCAACCTATTATTCAGTTTGATAAGTTCTGCACAAAAACAAATCCTCTGTGCACATAAGGTAAATGTTGTAACACCTCCAAACAATAGGAGAGGCTACTCTGTTACCATAACACAGCCCCCACACCTGGCCTCATTCCCAGCTACCCTTGACTGCTCTGTTGACTTGGTGCGCTGTCTGCCTTCTGGCAACACTTGATAAGTGCTGGGCCTGTACATATACATGTACATTGTACACAAGCAGTGCTTTGGGCAATCTTCAAGATGTGTTTCCACGTAAAATGTACGCGCTTGTGCAAACTATATGCTGGCAAGGCCGTGTGGACAAGTTTTACGAAAGAAGGTTTCAAGTGGAAGCCCAACATACAGTGTGTCCCAGAAAAAGCGGGGCCCAGACAAATCAGTGGCCATATCTAAGCAAATATTGAATGTGAGATTAAATTTTATTATGAAATGAAGACACAATCTCTTCTTGTTTGCATATGTGACACATGTATGTGTTCGTGAGTGATTCATGTTCACGGTCTCCCTCTCTCCACTAATTTACCAGCACAAGCTAACGCCGCAACAACAAAAATTAATTTGGATTTTATGGAGCTCGTTGCGTTTCTAGTCATGGCTTTAAAAGTTTTCAATCAATTCAGTTTATATTCCGGCAAGCAATAAACAACATCAACAGCATGGAAAAAAAACACAAACAAAATTTAGTCTCACATGATTTATAAGTTGTTTTGATATCGCCGCTGATTTGTCCGGGCCCACTTTTCTGGGACACTGTGTGCGCAATATTGTACAGTACAGTAGGCTAGTTCACGAACAAGAACACAGTGCCAATATGTACACATTAGCTAATCAAGAGTGTATTAATTACACACATTTTCGCACTCCGAAAGAACAGCAACCAAGATCAATCACTAGCTAATAATTCCTTCAAAAACTGTTTGAAAGCTCTCGTCTTCTTCTTGACAGGCTTTGATAATGAGCAACTACATGTACAATGTAGTAACGTGTACATTTTTATCATTGCTAGGCTGATCAATTTTTAGGAATCTTCTTGCAAGGAAAATGGAAAACTGTTTTTCATGCACATGTACATACATGTATGTACATGAATGAGCATGTACAGATTGTTTGCACTGATTTTAGTCACTGTAGCAATTCGCAACAAAAAGTGATAACCATACTAACAAAAACCTTTAGTACAAATATGTATCTGATACATACATGTACATGTAGTTCTCATCCAATTTCAAAAGCAGAGCTGTACACAGGTAACGTACGGTACATACGGTACTATGTACAAGTGTACACAACTATTTTGTACAATTTTGTTCAGAGACTAGAAACTGAATTTGTATTTTCCACCTCAAAATGCAAGTTTACAGAATTTGTCTTCTTCAGATCACTGAGGCCAATGGCCACTTCTTTCAGAGCAATGCCACTACCGCCCCAGTGTATTATTGTCCGTTCCTATGGCGACATCCAAACATCTCAGGTACACAACACAGCCACTTTGCCACATGACTGGGCAGATTCCCCGCTACCATGTCAATACAGATACCGCCTGCTGCACTGCCTTACATGTTCAATGAAGCTGATGTGTATGTAGGACTTATTTATTGAGCAATTTCATAACAGGACGGGCTATGAGAGTTATTTTGATGGAGTGTCTGTATGCCGGTTCTGGCCTTTATCCTCATGGACAGCATTAATAACAGCAGATCAGTTTTTATGAATGTAAAGTTCATGAGTGATATATTTTTGTGACACAATGCGCCTGTAAATTTAAATATTTTTTTTACTTTTGCAAGCTATAACAAAGTATTTTTTGGTGCGCTGCAGCTACCGTTTAGGGAAAGACCTAGTTAGCAACATATGTTGGAATATGTTCTAATTTAATTTTAAAAACATATTTGGTTCTTAATTAGTCGGACAAATTTATTTGTTAAGCCCTATATCATGTGCTTGGATACTAAAATTCCATTGGCCAATTGCATACTGTAGGAATCATTCAAACATGTCAATGTGCTTTTCAAGTTACAGAACTTTGAGCACAAACTCCGTTTTAAAGTTCTGTCCACGGATCATAGAAAAAGTAAGCGTTCTTTCAGCAAAACGAAAACAATTAACATGCATCCCTATGACAATGTATGAGAATTGTTTTTGTTTTGCTGAAAGATCCGTGGACAGAACTTTAAAACAGTGTTTGTGTTCAAAATTCCGTATCTTGAAAAGTACATGAGTGATTTGAATGATTCTTGTACTAAAAGAAAGCTCATTGATTAGGCTTTCATTACCCAGGTTTTAAAAGTGCTACATGCAAAACTTCTTTCAAAAATTGGTCCTGCCATGGGTTTCGATTTTTTTGGCTCACCCTATACAGTGATTTTCAATTTTGTACATGTACGTACTGTACTTACCATGTACCAACTTGCACTAGAATAAAGCAGTTGTTCAGTTAATTGAAACGGAAACCGAAAAGGGAACAATTGAACAATCAACAAAAAAGTTCTGCAGACTTCATGAGGTCCATAGCACAATTTAAAAAAAAGGTAAAGAGGCCGGACCTGGGTTACTAGGAACGGAGTGCCCATCTCTCTTTCTTTAGCAATTGGGCCAGACTCATATATGCTGCTGTGGGGGGATCACCACACCTCCACAGCGAGTCTGTTACCTTCCCAGCATTGAACAATGCCGGTACCCATTTACCACCTGGGTTGAGAGGAGTAATTGAGGTAAAGCGCCTTACTCAAGGGCACAACACGCATGGCCACGGCGGGGCTTGAACCCACAAACTTGCGATCACGAATCCTGTGCTCTACCACTAGACCACAAGTGCCCCACAACTAGTACGGAAAAATGCTACCTACCTTTAACATCCGGATTTCTCGCAGGGCAATCTTCTTGATGGAGGGGTCATCCTCAGACTCCACAAAGCGTTTGATGGCAACAATCTCCTCAGTGTCCCTATTCCGGCACTTGAAGACCACGCCGTACGACCCCTCGCCAATCTTATTCAGTTTCTCGTACTTGTCCATGTTTCAAGTCTCTTCTTTACTACCAATGCAATGGCTCCTGATGTGCAGCCCTATCACAAGTCTTTGGCTTTGCTTAGGGGATGTTCTGAGGGTTTTAAGTCATCTTTGCACAACCTGAATGAAGAGGAACTGCAGATATCTTCTGAAAAAGCTTCAGTTGTTTTCAAGAATGAGTCGGTCACATGGACAAGTTCTGAAGTGCCTCATGGCTGTTTTCTGGGGAGGGGTAGGCAGGTTCGTTTTGCACAACTAGTTTTGTACAGGCCAACTGGCTGATGGTCATGGATATTGCTTGACGACTACTGCTCACGGTGCATGGCTACAGTGCACGCTATGTTCACCTCATACAGTTATCCTGCTGCTTGCATGCACAATGTACCGTAGCTTAGTGTGACTGAGGGCCCTCTGATGACAATCCACACGCAGTAGTCCAACATACACCGCTGCAATGAACAATGTACACATGTACAGCCCACTCACTGATCTGTTGGGAGAGCATACAATGGTTGTCTTTACATCTAGAAAACCTCATTCACCTATTGAAATTAAACCCATGAAGACATGCTTTGTTGTGTTCCTCTCGAAAGAAAGCCTGTTTTTAACGAATGAACAATGGAAAATGCAAAATTTACTGCCCAAATCTACCACTGTGAAATGATTGAAAATACAGTTTTGAAACAATATTTCCTTTTAATAATTTAATGTGATTTTTTTATGATGGAACTTTTTTACATCAGGAGATGAAAATTCAAAATTGGGCATTGCCCTCAACAACATGATTTTTTTTTAATACTGCATAGCTCAGTGTTGTCCTTGGGCTTGTAAAAAAAATCACAAGGACAATTCCATGGAAATTTATGTTACATTTAGAGGAGATCTGACTAACCTGCAAAACAAGAAGGCCAACAAAATGGGGCCGTATCATAAGTCCGACGCCTCATAGGTCCGACACCTCATAAGTCCGAAATTTCGGACTAATGAGGCGTCGGACTTATGAGGCATAACATTTATTTATTCCGCCTCATAGGTCCGACGCCTCATAAGTCCGACGCCTCATAAGTCCGACAATGGAAAAACGAGGCGTTTAATTTGTCGGACTTACAAGGCGTCGGAGCTATGAGGCGTCGGAGCTATGAGGCGTCGGAATAATGAGGCGTCGGACCTATGAGGCGTCGGACTTATGGGCCTTTATTTGGTTAGGGGATGCGATTTTGTCGGACTTATGAGGCGTCGGACTTATGAGGCGTCGGACTTATGAGCGGACCCCAACAAAATAACTTTCTGTTGGTTTGGCAGTACGTTTTGATCAGTAACTCATACCCTGCATTTCAAAATTTCCTTATAGGCCTACTGTGTACTGATGAAAAAAATATGTTTAGTGCCCTTACAACATCATTAGGGTGTAAATACCATTTCAATTATTGGGGGGAAAAAACAATAAAATCTCACGTCTGCTCATCTTTGGTACAAAGCGTATGAAATTTATAATCAAACGAAAAATAATTCTTTTTCACATAAAATATGAACCTTTCTCTCTGTCTTAATTTTTTTTTTTTTACAGTTACACAATTTACATTTCGCGTGTTAAAACAGGGTGACAAAATGACTTTCTAAATGTATCCATAATTTGGGGAAAACCTAGTGTTTTTTGGACCAAACCCCCCCCCCCCCCCATTATCTCCCTGCCACATCACTCAAATGAAACTTGAAAGGTCTTGTTGACCCTTTCATTTGATACCACATTTGAGGTTGTGATGCTTGCAGTTTTGAAGACTTCATAAATTTTCCATTTTTATGGAATTGTTCACAAAGCTCATTCTGGTGGGACTCGAACCCACGACCTCCTGAGATAACTGAAGACATCTTACCACACGTCAAATGTGGTAGCAGTCGGTACCACAGCTGATTAATGTTTATGATGGATTTTTTTTGCGTTAGGGAAATGTTTCCAAAATTTGAACAGAAAGAGTTCCATACCTGGACATCGTACCTGGACACCCAGTGCACAAACTCTATGAGACTGGTCTGAAAAATTCCAAGTGTTTTCTCAGTAAATGCTTCAATATTTTCCCTGCTAAATTTGACTTTTCGGACATGTATGGCTGCACTGCAGGCACAAATGGGTGATGTCCATGTATGAAATTCTTCCCTTGGTGACTAGTACTGTACATGTATCACCCGTCACCAACGTGATTTTTATGATTAAATAATCTTTCCTTGGCTTCATGTCCTTTTATTTTTCACCACATCTCAGTCAGAGTAACTCAAAATATGAGAACACTTGTCAATGTATTCTCATGTTGATTATTCTTTTACATTTATGATTTACCGTTAATATCAGGTTCACACAAAATTACATGTTAATGAACTACAAATTTATGACGAGGATAAACTAATAAAATAAATAAACAAGGAAAAAAATGTTGCAACCTGATGCCATGAACATGATGAATCTGGGACTGAGAAACATTTTCAATTTTGTTAGGAATTACTTTACAATTTTCTTGACTCTCCATAGACCATAGATTTGTGTACACAATCGCGGAATGGCAATCTTTCCATAGCTTCATTCTAGATTCTACACAAATTTGACAGCCATGGCATTATCCGGCATGACACTGCCTAGCCCGACTGCGTCTGGCCGTACAGTACTATCGCAAGCTCTGTAGTACGGCCAGACGCCCGATGCTTCCACAGAGACTGAATTTTTTGGGCCGCCGATGTAGCGATATTGCTACATCTTTCGATCGCGATTATCTTTTCATCCAGGACACAAATTTCCAAAGTTACGGTTCGTAGTCGTAGAGCAACTCATACCTTTTCGAAAAATCGTTGTTTGGTCTCAATATTTTCATCCACCTGGCCACAAGACGAATTTCAGTAATCAGAATCCGCAAATATCGTCCTCCATGCGATTTCCCATGCGATTTCAAAATGGCGGCCGCGCTGTAATGTATGCAATATGCAGGCGCGCCCGCGTAAATCATGAATATGCATAAACAGTCTGTGACGTATGACCTCGTGTTTTTGGACGTGCGTGCGGCGGGGCCGTACGTCCAAAAACACGAGGTCATACGTCACAGACTGTTTATGCATAATCATGAGTTTACGCGGGCGCGCCTGCATATTGCATACATTACAGCGCGGCCGCCATTTTGAAATCGCATGGGAAATCGCATGGAGGACGATATTTGCGGATTCTGATTACTGAAATTCGTCTTGTGGCCAGATGGATGAAAATATTGAGACCAAACAACGATTTTTCGAAAAGGTATGAGTTGCTCTACGACTACGAACCGTAACTTTGGAAATTTGTGTCCTGGATGAAAAGATAATCGCGATCGAAAGATGTAGCAATATCGCTACATCGGCGGCCCAAAAAATTCAGTCTCTGTGGAAGCATCGGGCGTCTGGCCGTACTACAGAGCTTGCGATAGTACTGTACGGCCAGACGCAGTCGGGCTAGACACTGCCTGGCACCTAACGTTATTCACGCGTCACGCCAGTCAGTAGTCGCGCTAGCTAGTGTGTGCAGTACACGTACAGTGCGTGGAACGGTCGATGTGCTGCATGATGCATGCACCAGAGAAAGAGAGTAAATGTCATCAAAATTAAAATCCATTAATGAACCCATTTTAAACCTAAAATAATAGGCTTATTGCCGTACGAAATTCCAAGACAAAATGACAAAAGTATGAGGGAAAAAACTTCACTCACCTGTCTTTCGGTACGTTCTCAAGTGCTACTGCTAGTCTAGTTTTTGCATTTGGTCTATGATGGCAGCCATGACACTTACTAAATTTGCATAATTGATAGCTTTATCAATCCGCGAACAAGTTCGTCAGAGCTTAGCAGTTCTTACAACCTATAAAACATCCTGTTTTTCAATCAAGGATAAAATAATCAAAATAATGAAGTCTGCAGCTTTTTCGTTTCAAAACAAGCTTTTTATAATTGTATAAGTATTATCTAACATAACATTTCGGCACTACTTTCTCATTGCACACACTTCCTTGTGCGTGCTATGTGCGTCAGGGTCGTTGCAGGCAGTATTTTGGGTCATGCATTAATATGCAAATAACACTCCTTGGAAACGCAGTAAACTGAAATGTTTACATGTATGTTCAGTCAAGCATGTATTGCGGAAACTCGACATTGAACTTCTAAGCAATTAAACTAGTAAAGGATTTGTATTTTCAGATTTTGAACATATGAAGTGAAGATATTCTATGATAAATGATAACATTACATCGAGTGGTGGATTGTTCGGCTGGATATTGGTCAATTCGATTCATTTAATCATTTTGTTTTATTTAAAAAAACCTATTTATTAAAGAAACAAAACAGGATCAGCTTAAAAAATGAATTCAAACGACTGAATCACATTGTATAGTACAGTAATCAATAGAAAACTATCAATTTGACAAGTAGAAAATTTTACATCCTTTTGAGAAAAAAAAGGATCCTACATATGGGGAAAACGTATGTGTTGCGGAAAGAGAAGTCGGCCTTTTACAATTAATTTACAAACAACCAACAAACCAAGAAAACAAACAAATAAACACCCCAACACACCGACAAGCCAACAACAAACTAAACAAACAACAAACGCACGCAGTCATTGTGTACGTAATTTTGATGAAATTCGCCCTCTTCAAAATCGAAAAGTTGGAGGGGGGGGGGGCAGAGGGCCTGCAGCTTCTGATAGGGTAGGGGCATTGTATTAAAAGCGGACACTCAGTGGACGTACAGTAGGTGGCGCTCTTAATCCCTGACGACCGATGTTTCCCGCCGGGCGATGCCGCCACCCCGCCTTCTACATGCGTCCCTGCCTGGCTCGCTGTTAAAACTCTGTAGCCACTCTGCATCCCCCTTTAGGTGGGTAAAATCGGCGCTAAAAAAATATCGGTAAAAGGAAGAGCAACAAATATGCTGCAAGGCAGCAACTGTTCCTCAGAGATCATCGAAATACTTCACACTATTCAGAACGAATTAGGAACGTCCCGCTCTTAATTCGAAAGTTGAAAATAGTTAATTGATTGCTTGCTTGACATGGACCGAGTGGGGTTTTTTGGGTGCGATGTCTCATTTAAAAGCTAATGTACTTTCGGAAGTTCACTTTGTTTTTCAATTTTTTTATGTCCATTTTTAGGCGAATTACTATATTTGGGGGGGGGATGTTCACAATTAAAGAAACATTATTTTCAAGATGTAATATAACAGGCCGTTTATATTCATCATCATTAATTTGCTTTTATTTCGCTCAATGTCTCTATGATTTTTTATTTGTAATTTGTATAATTGTTTGTATAATGTTTGTATGTGTATAAACTGTGTGTATTTAATTTGGATGCTTTTATATTTTTTTCATATATGATTCCTTTCTGTAAAAATTGCAGTATTTATTTTTTAAAGGGGCGTATATTTATTTGTTCTTGTTTATTTCTCATGTTTTGTTGCATTTATATATTGGGTTTTGTGTTTATTCAGCTTTTCTTGTTTTACTATTTTTATCTTTGACATTTTAATTCTTTGTATTGATATTTGCACACCTTTTTACGTTACGATTACATTTTTCTTCTCTTTAATTTAATATGATAATAATGGTTAATTTTTCATAACTTGTACAGCGCCTTGAGCGTCTTTTTTTAGGCGGATTTTGGCGCTATATAAATGTTCATTATTATTATTATAACAACGTACATCTTTATTTTTTCCCAATTTAATAGCGTATACGGCGTTTCTCAGTCAACTTTATAAATCGAGCCATTAATAATGGTACAGCCATATTGATCGAACGAAAATTCGTTTTGATTATTGTCAATTAGTAAAAATTCATTGATTTACTACAAAGACATCTTGTTTTGTTTTTAATGCTACCAAAGGCCTGCCGAGCAGATGTAAATATCAAACTAAACCAAAGTTTTAAAAATACAGGCTAAAAAAAAATCAAAAAGTTATGTGCTGGCCAAGCTTTCAGGGATCGGTCTGAGCCATAACAATGCCCCAGCCAATCCCTTAGTTCTCTTCCGGGGTCTCGGCGTCCCCGACCAATACACACTTCCTTCCCTGTCCATCCATATAACCCCGGAGGGCCAGGCACCATGTAAAAGCAAAGAGCTAAGGGAGGAACAGGGCGGCCCCTAAGCCCTGATCCTCCGAGTGGACCACATGCCCTGAACCTGTACGAAGGCGCCAACCTGGAACTCGCGGACAGTACCAGCAGCAGTGCTTACCGATTAAGCTAAGGTACTGTTGGTAATTTACGACGGGAAATTAAACGTCTTATAATGACTGAATAGAATGTGTGCGTTGTAAAGCAAAAAGACACCGACGGGATTCGATCCCGGACTCCGCGATTTGTGGACGACGAATCTAACCACTCGACCATCAGGCTGCCTTAGAATTCTCCTCAAAAACAATGTGTCTTAATAATAGGCGGAGAAACGTGGAACATGGCTGTGTGCATCTGTTTTGGCTCCATGGACGAACAGAAGTCGGTATTTCGGGCAATAATGAGTCAACTGTTTTCATTTCTTTGGAAAATTGTATACGGCAGCCTCAATAGTCGCAGGCCAATACGTGTGCTAAACATCGTTACGCAACAATAAACACTATTATTAGGCCTATGTAGGGTTTTGAAACAGGCCTCAGGACGTGCGTTCAGGGGCGGATCCACGAAATTTGGCGGGTGGGGTGTCAGTCCCGTTAAATGTTTATATCTGATCTATCATTATTATAATTGTAAGCCTGTACATATTTTGCCTGTGTCGGAATAGGGTGGGCAGGGGAGGGGGGGGGGGTCGACCCCCTCTGGATCCGCGCCTGACTTTTACTCTTTGTGGACAGATACAGATTCTCAACTCCGTCACTACCACATCAACATTGTACGGACGTCTTTACAAAATAAACGATAATAGTTTTTACGGATTTGTCAGCAGTAAACATGGGACCGCTTCACAAGGCAACTTAACACAATGCTACAAGGGACCATCAAATAATTATTGTCATCAGATCATTCTTTATTTCCATTTCCCTGTAGTTTTAAGATGTTTTTCACAAATCGACTTTTTTTTCAGCCATGCTGAAAAACACTGTAGTTAATATTAACTAAGCGTAAACACAAGTATGTTTAATTTGTCCTGATACCGGTAACTATTCCCAATCGATACATGAAATAAAGAGAAAATGGTTGAATTGATAAACAATACGTTTGAAAAAAAAATTAATCATAATTGACAATTTCAATAACTCATATGTCAAAAACATTGAGAGTTGACCATGACATTGTGTATAGGCCTAGAGTGTTATTATATGTTGTTTGACAAGAGCGAAATGACTTTAAAACATACTGTCATGACAACTGAGCACAAAACTCGGCTTTGGAGCTCTTTCGAAATTGATTTCCCGAAAATACAGTAAAAGCAAAAAATGGAATCATTGGTCTTTTGGTGTTATTTGTTCATTTTTGTTATCGGGTTTTTTTTTTCAAACTTCTTTTTTTTTCCAAAACAAAACGTCATGGTTCATGCGCAGTTGCTCGGTACATTCTGTGAGTCATTTCGTTCTCGTGCAAGTAATAACTGACGAAAGGTAGAGAAAGGTCAATACGCTCTGAATTAAATCTCAACATCCCTAAAATATTTTCCAGAAATCTTCAGACCCATTAAAAGTAAATCTTTTTGTGTACCAGCAGAGTGACATTACTCGCTGGTTTACATACGATGGGCTAGGAATTCTATCTTGTCTTCTTTCGGAAACGAAGTCAGTTTGGACTTTTTTGTGGCAACACTAAGATGGGTGTTCTTAGTCATTTCAAGGGTGCTGCATTCGATTGTGCCTGTTGTGTCGATGCTAAAGTGGCACCCAAAGCGTCAAAATGCTCTGAAAAAAAGCAATCTGGAAAAAAATAATAATCCAGTCAAGACTCGATCTATTGATTGAACATTACATTTTCACTCTAAAACGTCCGGTCTCTAGTTTTAGTCACTGGGAGAATTTTCACTGTTGGCAGTGGCGCACCCAAGGGGGTGGGGGGCTTGGGGGCTTGAGCCCCCCCCCCCCAGGGGTTGTCATTTTTTGGGAGAGAGGGGTTTAAAAAAATTACGATATGACCGCATTGATTATGTATCTGACCTAATTTGGAGTAGTATTATAGGGTTGTAAATGGCGTAAAACATCGAAATGCTCCTGTCCCCTTCTCCCCCCCCCCTTTGTATTTGTCTGCGGCCGAAAAAATTGGGCAACATTTAAACGAAAAAAAAATCAAACTTCTAAAAAAAAAATTATTAGCCCCCCCCCCCCAGCCAAATCCTGGGTACATCACTGGCTGTTGGGAAATACGAGAGTAGGCATTTTCATACATTTTAAGGGCAAATGTGTACCCTTATTCTGAAGCACTAAATACGTAAAAGGCAGCCATTTTATTTTTTTCCCCTCGGGATTAAATAAAGTCACAACTTGAATTAAAGGTTTTAGTGATGCGACAAATTGTTAGAGGAACACATTTAGTGCAACTTTCTTCACCTCTTGAAATGTATGAAAACTATTTGACATCCCTGTTTGGTTAATTGTATCTAAAATTGCATTTCTTTAAACATTTCACATTTTCCATGCTTTTCCGAACAACTAAGGGTGCAGTTGCTGTGATGTCATTTCAGGAAGACAATTCCAATATGGGTTTTTTTTCTGTTGAAATGGTGAACCCAAAATTTGCTTATTGAAAACATTTCTGAGAAAGGGTTGATCGTTGGCTTTCTGCCATGTACTTACACAACAACGATTTACCACCCCCCCCCCCCAAAAAAAATGACGATACCAAAATATCCAAAATTCTAGCTGTTTGCAAACATTGGGGTTTCTGCATGCCTGGAATGACATCACATATTTACTCATGAATATGGACATTTGTATCAGCATAACAACAAAAAGGCGCCTGAAGTGAAAAGGACATTCACAGTGACAAAATAAGCTAAATGGGACACAAAGTTTTAATTTCAAAGATTGCATCGGAAAAAAATTGCCGCACTTCATAGGCCCTTATATATTTTCCCAATCACCCTGGACCCAAAACCTGGATAGACCTTATGCATTGTGGAAGTCTTCAGATGGTATTTTTTTGTTATTTACGATGAATACACAAAGATTTACTCTTGCCTGTTCCATAAAGATACAAAACTAGTGCCCTCTAATTTCGCCTATAATGACAAAGTTACTACATCGCGAGGAGCTTGGCGACGAATGCCAATGCGAGGAGTGCCGCTAGAGGGCGCACCGCACTGCCACTGTTGCAGTTATCGCCGTCGCAGATACACAGTTTGCCCGTGATATTACTCTGATCGGGAATTAAGTCAGGAAATATCATCAGAATTAAAGTAGCCGACTCTGCACCCTCGTAACACTTATTGTCGTACGTGACTGGAATCTGGAAGCATGCTCTAAGTGTTCCATCCTTGATGTCAACATCAGCTCCGGCTAAAATGAACCAGACGAAACAAAATGAGACACGAGTCGTGAATTTGAGCAGATGTCCGTTTTGTTAATAAAAAAAACATTCTCATGGGTTGTTGGCTATTACATGATTTGTTGATGAACAGGGTTTGGGTAGTTCACCCATATGCCTGCGCCTACGCACTCCTATAACATTCTGTCTTTTATAGTCTTGCTGCAAGACTGATTATGATTTCGGTTCTTCTATAAATTAAAGTGAGAATCCCGAACACCTTCCCTTTTGGGGTTTCTTACGTTTACACACCAAGGTGATTTATTTTTGTCTCCAAGATTGATATATCAATACGTCAAAACGAAATAAATTTCACCAAAACACATATTTGGAGTATCGTGTCAACATTTCCGCAGGACATTATGGTAACAAGATGATCTCAAACATATACTATTCGCCGTGTGTGTGTGACATCGAGAATGTGCGTGTGCGACGTCGATCGACAAGGATATTAAGCCGTTTGGTTGCGAAGGCGAAGCGTGGCCCGTTGATAGGCACAAAATCCGATTAGAATGTACTTAGACGTTATAACAGAGCAGTAAAATTCATGCACCCCAAAAAACATGGCCTTTTGAACGTTTTGTTTCTCAGAAAATATTCTCAGTATGATTGAAATGTTAAATTATAACGGAAGACCTTCAAGTCGCGAAGAAATCGTTTGAAAACGTCCCCAAATCTACGTATTTATATATATTTCTAGGAATTTCCGAAAGTTGTTATTCACGAGTAGTTGAACACTTTCAATTATCATCTAAGTAGTATACTCCAAATTCCAGCTTAATCTGTCGTTGCAAACGCTAGTGTTGCACCTTGAATTGTCTGCAAGGAAAATTTCGACAAGGACTTTTTGCCTGCCACACCCACGTGCATGGTTTTCGGTAAAGATCCTACTTCGGCCCTGGAACACAATGACGAAGATCGTTTTAGCATTTTCATAGCGTCACTAGGCTCGGCTTGATTTGGCGTGGGTTTCGGTATCGGCTAATATAAGCCGCCAAAAAGGGTGTTGTTTATTAATTAATAACTCGAGAAGCAGGCTTTTCTGCAAACTTTCACTGCATTATTTCTTGAGGCTTGAAACGATTGACATATATTGCAAACACCAGTGCTACAACTTTTAAAAATGCACGTAGCCAGGCCTATTTTTCAAATTTCAACAAAAAGAAATGGACATACGACAACGATTTTTTTGCACACCAGTACTTGGATCTTTATAAGGGAAATAAACCCTGAAAGTTGCATGACGATACGGTCTTCCAAACGGGAGAAATTTACTTTCACAGATTTTGCCCGCCTGGGTGAACACATGGTGTGCATGTAGTTTCATTGAAAATAAGGTGTTATGTTTAGAAATCGCCCTTCGCAACCACATGGCTGATTGAATGGACTTCAACTTTTTTTCTAAACATGTCTCATAAGGTTTGTACATGAAGACATGCCGAGGACTTAGCTCAGGTCGTCGGGGATCATGTTATCGCATAACCCGCAAGCTCAAAGATACATCGAAGTCACAAACGCGAATCGACAGATGTCTGCTACGCGCGCGTACCCAAACATGGATTTGGGGAACTAAGACAGAGATCAAGTCTTGGCCCATGGTCGACCATGATAAATGTTAAACTGTCCAGTTTCGGTAACCTAAAACTTAATAGCAGGATCTTCCGAATAAACTGAACTGAATGACCATTATTTTGAATCAATTATGGATCAAATTGATGTTGAATGTTCTAGGAAGCATTAATTTTAAATGGCATTGAATGAGCCAGGAATTTAACGGGTTTTTTTGGGGGGGGGTAAAGGAGTGGTAAAATTGGCCTGGAAAATGTGCAGCCGAATTACCTCTGGTCTTCCCCTTAACAGTTCCTGCAGCTTTTACGCACTTTGCGTTAAACAGTGTTCCGCCCTGGCAGGATGATTTGCCTTTGTATGTATCTGGAGAAGGGGAGTTGGCGCAGTCTGCCTTATGCGTGTACTGCTGGTCCAGTGGTAGGCGAAGTCCTGTTGAGTTGAATGTTGTGCATTCGTAACAGTTCAGTGCTAAATCTGCAAAGAGAAAAATCCACAGAGAATGAGGTGTGAACAGCCAGAATTCACTTGTTATTTTGTGATAATTAGCGGCATACCGGGTGGAGTCATATTTGAACGTTACTGTGACCTCAATTTGCATGTTGACCCCAAGTGGGCGTGGTAAATCTTGGTGAAGCACTTTTGCCACAAGTTTTCATCATCAACGTCATGTTTTGCGTTATAGCGACCCGTTAAGGGGTGTTTTCATATAGACAATTTTATACATATTTAACCATTCAAAATCTGCAAGAAACAAATTTACCAACAAAGCAAAACAATACAATTTTTTTTTTTTTGCAGGTGCCAACCGTGACTTCAGAGAACAGTGAAATCGGAGCATAATGTATACCATTTCAAGAACCGTTGGTATAACCTTGCATTTTGTGCTTCCACACACTCTTTAGGCTTTTTACAAGAAACGGGACACGCAGACATCAGACAGGACATCAGACAGACAGATAGCGTAGTTGGGTCTTAATATGGACTAGATTCACGAGGCCATTTTGGTCGTGTTCCCTGAATGTATTTTATAAATTGTGAACTGTTGAATGTGATGGTGCCAGACTATTCATACACTCTAGCCTCACTTTCATTTTTTTTTTAAATGTGGCTTAAACATTAGGGAATATTAATCACACATTTTGATTTATTTATCAGAGCAGACTGGTATTAATTTGTAATTAACTTTATGTCATTGCTTTCATTTCTCTTCGCAAATTCCAAAAGTGAGTATTTTACCTCGCTTTCAATTTCCATAATGATTAATAATAATAGGGAAAATCTGTAGTGTAGAGGGAAAAACGAACACTGAAAAATTGCCTGGGTTAATTTTACCAAAGAAAGGATGGAAACTGGAACTACCCAAACTTGGGTTGTTCTATAGCCAATTGTGTGGGTTAGAATTTCTGCTAAATTCAACCAAAACCTGTGGCCATTCAAGACCAAATTTAATTTGGTCTTGTATATGACTACAACGTTTGGTTGAATTTAACATAAATTATAACCCAAACAATTGAATATAGGACAACCCAAGTTTGGGTAGTTCCAGTTTTCACCCTTTCTTTGGTAAAATTAACCCAGGCAGTTTTTCAGTGAAGTGTACATGTACATTTTTGTACATTTTGTTCGCAAAAGTAAAGGATTGCACGGGAAGTCGTCAGACTTGACAACATTTCAAGAGATGCTATTTTCGAGTTAGGCCTATAACCCTAAAATATATTGCTTTTCATTTAAACAAAACAAAAACCAAAGCTTCAATTGATTCAATTGATATACACTTGGGAACACACACAAAAATATCAGGCAAAGAGAGATTGAACAATTATTTGACAAATTTTGCATAATTTGTTTGGCCCGACAAAAACTTCGGATGGATCTCTTTGTGCGTGAGAGGCCCAAAACCAAATTTAGAACATGGTACGATTGAAAACAAACAAACTTTTGAGAAGAACAAAGAAAGCGGCGTCTTTAATTTTTGGCGCGAAATTAACGCTGCATTAAAACCCTGCTAATTCGATGAAATTGGTATGGAAAACCATACAATGTGTAATGAATTAGAAAAGATAAACCAATTCCATCATTTCTGATCACTTTAGGGGCCATTCAGAATTTTCAATGTTTTAAATGTTTCGATTTTTTTCAAATTGTGGGTGGGTGGGTCAAGCTACATAATTGAAAATCGAAATTCACTTTCCATGGAAAAAAGATTAAAAAAACCAAGAAAGATAGATATTTTGACTTGCCTGAACTACGCGCAAGCGTTCCGATATCGCGATGCGTGTTTCTTTTCCAACTTCGTCCCCTGTATGTACTGTCAGTGGCGTAGCCAGGAATTTTTCAGTGGGGGGGGGGGGGGGGGGGGGGGGCGCTGGCGCTGGGGGGCTGGAACATTTCATGGGGGGGGGGCGTCATGTTGATCAACTATAATTTTTTTAGAAACTCAAAATCTCAGTGGGGGAGGCGACTGGGGGGGGGCGACAAGGTTTCATGGGGGGGGGGCTGGCTGTCGCCCCCACGGCGCCCCCCCCCCCCCCCCGTGTCTACGCCACTGCAGGTCATACAGTTAAAGTTTATGTAAACTTGTATGAAAAGTCAAAGAAAAGTAACTCCCATGATCTATTTGACACCAAGTTTGTGTTAACTTGCCGGTAACGCCCTAACAAATTATCCAGACAAATATGTTTATTTTGTAACATTTGATGTTCGTCTGTCGGTCTTCTATGCTGTTATGTTTACTTTTAGGTACCTTCAATGGTACTATGTTTAATTAACCTGTTCATTTGTTTAATTAAACTAATAACGCACATATAGTTGCCAAATATGGCACTAACAAGTTTGAGGGCGGCAATTTCATCTTTAAAAATCTGGGTACGTCGGATTACTGTACACACAATTGTCCTGGAAACAACAGTACCAAAGTACAGAAAGTCGTACGCAAGAGCTCCCCAGCAAGTATCGCTGACGCCATTATGATTCCAAAATTTCTCACTGTGTCACACAGTGAAATAACTAAACAGCGTCGTTGTATTGTGAACACATACAAGCATTCAAGTCGCGTTCTTGCACACTTTCTGCAAGTCGACATAGATATCCTTGAACCACTGCCCCTGCTTTGCATAACAAGTGCACGTGAATGAACGATTCGACTTTTATTCAAAGAAATTTCTATGTACAGTCACCAGACTCTATTCAGTAAAGTCCCCGTCAAAACGAAAGTAAACAATCCACGTGCATACCGCACGGCTACACCGTCGTACAGTGTGGCAGGGACACCAACAAGTAACACAACAACTATTTTTTTTTTTTAAATTTATAAATATTCTGATTGAATTTCGTTAAAAGATACTTGTTGGTGAGGTATCACATATTCTAGCAAATTGATAAAAAAATGTACAATATTACAATATGCAATTTTGAGGGAAATGGGCAAAATACTGCATAAATAATGCCACTTGATCATATTCATAATACACAAACCGACAATTTTCATTTTCAGACCCACAACGAGAAATATTGTTCACACTGGGCTTATTGTGATGAGTTGTGCTTGGAATCCACCAATACATAAATTCCCATAGGCACCAAAGATAAATACCCCAATTTAAACAAATCGGGGAACATACTCTGAACCCTCACAGGTGAGCAAAACATACATCAAATGAAAGCTGAATTAATCCTCTTTACCTTTTTGGAAATCTTTTTTTTTTTTGGGGGGGGGGGGTTGACCTTTGACTTTTAGGTGATTTTTCCCTCCAACGATGATCACCCCATCGCCATTTTGAAAAAAAAAAAAACAGATTCCTACCACTCCATATCAATATAGATTCCATTCAAATGTTTTGTTCAGAAATCTAAATTCAGGAACATGGACCCTTCACTTCTACAAATACAGACCCTCAAGTGCAGGGGCCAAAATTCTTTATTATTACAGATAAACTAGTATACAAAGCGTAATTTGGCCGGATTAGGTCGCGCCTATTTGGGCTGCCTCTCATATGTACTGCGATCGGGAAATCTCCAGCGTAATAAAGACTTGAAGAAACTTTATTTGATTTATTTGATTCAATTATTTTATTTTAAATCTTAAAACATAAAATAAAAGCTAAAAGTTGGACAGGCTGCCACGGATATGTAAAAGTAAAAAACAAAACAATTGTCATCAGACATTTATCCAAACCCCTGCCAATAAAACAGATTTACAATTCCATTCATAAAAATTAAAGTACTATTGAAAAGTAAATTGTACAAATCATACGAGACGAGACATGACGAGACATGACGAGACGAGACAAGACTGGGAGATGAGACAAGACTCAGCAAAAAAATCATAGAGTGAAACATTGGACAAGCCAGACAGATACAAAAATATAAAAACGAACTAATAAATAAATACTCTTACAACCCAACAAACAAACAAACAAACACCCCAAACAACCAGACTCAATAACGGGAATGAATGACAAACGGGCTAAAAAGATTATTACAAACAAAACAAAACAAAACCGAGAAACAAAAGCAATCCCATTCCCCAGAGAGAAAAAAGCAAACCATAAAAACAAACAACCTAGTTGACATACATACGTCTACACTCACATTACATACACACACTAAAGAAACAACGAGAAACTAACCGGGAACAAAATGAAATAAGACACAATTTTACATTGACGATAAAATAAATTTGACTGCAATAATTCCTCCCTCAGTTTTAAAAGAAAAGATTCACATTTCCATAGTTAAAACTTTTTCTAATTTTAACACGGTGACTTCGGAGAACATCAATGAGGCAACTATAAGTGAACAGTTCTCTTCTCTTGTAATCCATGTGTCTATCAGTTCTAAGTTTCAAGTGGTGAAACGTTAAAAGCTGTGCGACGGAACTGCCTTGCAATTCCTGAAATTATTGTTGCATTCCCTATTAGTTCATTAACTTTATATTAGAATCAACATTATTATCTATGATAACGAATTTGGCGGGAAACAGAGCTTTCACTCAGTGACTTTACTGGTTTATTTAACTTCGTGGGGATTCCTCCAACGTCAGGCTTTTCCTTGGTTTCAACACCGGTGTCGGAGTCTCACAACACTAACTGGGGCAACCAAGTATGCCAAAGATTCTAGCTGAACCGAGTGGGCACGGTACGAGCTTTCGCTTCGCAGAGACGGCCGGACTGAAGCGGGAGCGGACCGCTACAGTGACGGGGAAGCAACAGCTGGAAGGGGCCAGCGAGTGTACCGGATCACACTATAGTTCGAGCCATGGTGTGCATGGTCAACCGGGGCCAGTGGCGTAAACAGGAATTTTTCAGTGGGGGGGGGGGGGGGGGGGGGGGGGCGCTGGGGGGGGGGGGGGCTGGAACATTTCATGGGGGGCGTCATGTAGATCAATAATAATTTTTTTCGAAACTCAAAATCTCAGTGGGGGGGGGGGGGGGGGCGACAAGGTTTCAGGTCGCCCCTCCCCCCACGCCCCCCCCCCCCCCCCCAGGCTACGCCACTGTGTACTGTACAAGTACGTCATGTAGGCCTACGTGTATCCAATCGCTATAAAAACTGGACTATTCAACCATTGGACTCCCAAGTCTACGAGGACCGCAGCCTGTGATGTGATGTCTGCCCAAACCTGATGTTTTCTTTCGCTCGTACCCCCCGCCCTGCAAACAGGGCGGAGGGGGGGGGGGGGGGGGGGGAAGAGCAAATGTTTTTCTCAGCTACCTCACGTGACAGGCACAACCTCGTATGTCACATGTCATCCACCTCATCCAGAAAACGACAAAACCACTGTCATCTTTGTGGCTTCCAAAACTGCAACCTGTCATTCCCAACAGCATATCAGCTGGCAAAACACAAGAAAACTGAAGGTCACCAGTGCAAAAGAGGA